CCGCCGCTGCTCAAGGGACATCCTGACCAAATATCACCTGCCTGTTTTAAATGCTGGCACACAACCAGGTTCTGTCTTCCGTAATTCCAGCTGCTGTGGAGTTCACAAACCTCTGTCATGCTCCTGATTATTGATCAGTCATCCTCATTCTTTACTGTGGTCCTGTGCTGAGATTGCGGACTTCATTGCTCTCTAGGGAGAGGTGTGTGATCAGGCACATCTGAACAGCAGTTGTTCAGCACAGGTGTAAAAGCGGCCATCCTGACAAATGCAAGATGGAGGCACAACTGTGACACTCTCCAGTGTTGCAGTAAGGCACAAGTTCACCTATAATGTTTGGTGATTCTTCATATGTTATCACTGATGTGAGACTCCATCATCATCAAGGCAAAGGAGCTCCAGCTGGAGTATAGAACTGCTAAGTACTATGGGACCTCAGGGAAAGCTAGCACAGTGTACTGGTACTATGAGGAGCTGGACCATGTTTGCTAGAGATTGCACTACTCAGCCATAGCATGGACTTTCTGACTGATCCTCCAAACCAGGATCTAATCTATCCAGTGAACTCTAGGGCAGACACAGCTGCAGAGATTCAGGAGCATCCCGAATCACAGCTGGAGGATCAATCTAAACCACAGGCACAGATCCAAATTGTGGAGGGGACCAATTCTAGTGAGTGTGGAATGACGTGTTTCAATAACACTTTAAGGCAGGAGTGTGAGGGGTTTGAACAGTTTATTTCCAGGTACTGTAAAGGGTACCACAATGTTGGTCTAACTCCTCTCTGCCTGCCCCACACCTGCTACTCAGTGATGGCCATACCAGAGACTGTACAAACTCTCCATGCCTTTTTTCTATAAGCAAAAACACAAGTGCTGCTTAAGCTTGCCATGTACTGTCCCACACCTCCTTATGATGGTGCTTATTGGTTTCTCTGCTGCCTCCCCAATCCCTTTTCTCTTACATAATGGCAACACTGCCTGGTTAACCCACGAGACTGTTTGAAGAAAGGCATCAAATACAAAGAAGAAACAAAATCATGGTCCACAGTTTCGTGAATGCCCTCATTTTTGAGTGAATGCGAGTTATGTTACCTTGCCCAAATCATGGTACAGACATTTTCATAGAAAGATTTTAAGACATTTAACTAAAAGGGACATGAATTATTTTGTTTCAGAGTTCTGTTAATTTTGCAGTGCACTTTATGCTGATCATGGATGTTAAATATCAATTTAAGGCACGAACAGTGCTCTGATTTGGCAGGGAGATTGCAGAGCAATGCAGCTATCTCAGCACTGCCCATAGAGCTTGTTTCCCTTCCACTTCTGCACCAACTCTGGGGGAATTATCCTAGCAAACACCAGCACAGCATATCTTTCAAATTTGTTCAATATCTTCTCAACAAATCCTTTTCTCTCTTTTGGGGATGTGCATCAGGGTAACTTCCTCCAAAGTAAGAACAGCCTGCAGAAGTACATGTGCAATTACTAGTCTGCCACTGCTCCCCTCACTCCCAGACCTACTGCTATTCTGTCAGCAAGCTGCAGAGGAACACATTCAGTTATTAGCAAGTACCCCCTTTAGCTAGCCACTTCCCCATCACTCATAGTCCACCTGGAATATACTATCCTGAATCCCAAACTGGCAGAACAGACACCTCCTCTCGCTATCCCCTCACACCACAGGCTCAAGGGACCCTATACAAAGGGGGAAGACTGCAAACATCTTACCATCTCCAACCTCATTGAGGACTGGGAAGAGCCTATGGGAATGGAATTTCAAAATCAATGAAAAAGCAACATTTTATCTATGTTGGCATGGAGACTACAGTTTGGACAATAATTTGTCCATTGTCCTCTCTTTCCCTATAGCACCCACGGGGAGGGGGAGTGAGAGGGTGGGAAGGTCAGAGAAATGGGTAGCACATCCGACACAGGTAATGGAGAGGTAAAGAAACCTCCTGGAGCACATGGTCTTCAAACCTGAATTTGCACAGCTTTATGAATTTGAATATATTATTTTTACTGCTCACAATGTTCAATTTGGTGTATTCATTCCTATTGAAATATTGAAAATGTGTTTGATGCAAGACTCAATCATCATGAATGGATTCATTCAAATGTGCAGCATCATGATCACAATATCCACGCATGCACAATAAATACATAGGTTTCAGAGGAACAGCCGTGTTAGTCTGTATTCGCAAAAAGAAAAGGAGTACTTGTGGCACCTTAGAGACTAACCAATTTATTTGAGCATGAGCTTTCGTGAGCTACAGCTCACTTCATCAGATGTATACCGTGGAAACTGCAGCAGACTTTATATACACACAGAGAATATGAAACAATACCTCCTCCCACCCCACTGTTCTGCTGGTAATAGCTTATCTAAAGTGATCAACAGGTGGGCCATTTCCAGCACAAATCCAGGTTTTCTCACCCTCCACCCCCCCACACAAATTCACTCTCCTGCTGGTGCTAGCCCATCCAAAGTGACAACTCTTTACATAATCAAGTCGGGCTATTTCCTGCATAGATCCAGGTTTTCTCACATCCCCCCCACCCCCATACACACACAAACTCACTCTCCTGCTGGTAATAGCTCATCTAAACTGACCACTCTCATGCTCAAATAAATACATAAATCCCCATCTACATTTCAAACATTATAATGCAGCAGTTCTCACAATATCTTAAAAACTCAACAAGAAATGTGATAATATACACACAAAGTATGATTAAGTCCTTGCACCAGTAGACATATTCAAGAAGACCTATTCAGTAATGCTGATCAGTGCCTTATGCAAAAGTATGTGCATTTTTTACAAATGGCATCTAAACTCGAAGTATGAACACACTGCATCTCTTGCTCTGTGCCCTAGAGTAGTTACATCTTTTTGCAGAGGCCTTCAATCTGGCTGTTCAAAACATTTGCCAAGTCTGGCCACCTGTTGCTAAGCCAGGCAAGCAAAGGGTAAGCCAAGTCTCCCAGAATGAGTGGTGGAATGGCATTGCCAACAAGGTCCATTGATACTGTTGATGCAAAAGTTCCGTTGGTCAATGGAGAAAACATTCTAGACTTTCTGAAGATCCTGGTATCATGGACCTTTGTAGACCACCCCACATCAATACTGGTGAACTTTCCATGGTGATGAAACAGGCCTTGCAGCACCATGGGGGTGAGGGGGGGGGACTTTTCTGTTGATAGCCTCTAAGGCCTGATACGGAGGGTTAAGAATTGGCATGTGGGACCCATCAGTGGCTCCAGTATAAGTTGGGAACTCCAACAATACAAACCAATTAATTTCCTGTGCATTGTCCAGTCTTAAGATACGGTGGGATAGAACCTTCTCGATAATATTGCACACCTCTATTTCAACAGCCCAGATAGCTGATCTACCAACAATGAACTGGCTAGCTACTGACCGGTTGTAGGTAGTAGGGTTGGCAAGCTTTCAGATGGTGATGGCCACACTCCTTTCTATGCTGAGGGCAGTTCTTACATAGGTATTCTTCTGCTGTAGCCCCTGTGCGAACTCTACACAGCTTTCTAAGAAAGTGGCTTTTGACATCCTGAAATTCTGCTGCCACTCATGCTCATACCCAATCTGCAGTGCTATACTTTCCCACCAGTCAATACTTGTTGGCCACTCTCCAAAGGGGTGCTCCACCAAGGGAAGCTGCTCCAGGAAAAGTTATGGAAGTGTCTGCTTGATTTCAGCCTTCTCCTCCTCTGGTGGCCTTATCATCCCAGTTCTGAAGTCACTGCCCAACTTTAGATGTTAAAGCAGCTTGTTTATGTTCATCACAGTGTGGATTGTAGTGATCACAATGTATGTTGCATGACAGTGGTTTGAAAATGGCACTGGATGGCTCTGAAAACCCTAATGCATGATAGGATGAAATGAGGAATCATGGGAATTTAATTTGACACTAAACTCCAGAATTCTGTTGCCTTCCAATAAGTATCTGAGTGCTCAGCATGAAAAATCCCAGAATGCACAGAACACAGTGGCAGAGCAGTGTACCCTGGGATGTCTGCCCAGAATGCTGGTTGCTGATTTCGAAACATCACAGTGCCGTATGGGTGCAATGATATGGGGCAAAAGTACCTTAATCACAGGATAACAATGTGATGTGTGTGCACTGCTTGTGAAACACTTTTTGCAGATCACATAACGCAGATACACAAAACCCATGGTAAGTTTCAAGTGTAGACATGCCTTAGGCCACTTTACTCCTGAATGAGAAAATCCACCTGGGGGTTTAATGTGCTTTAACTTCCACACATTTGGTTGATTTGCCTTAACTTTCTTGACAGTATCCATGTAGACATGGCCTTGGACTCACTTCTTTGCCCTTTTTCAGGTTTTAAGATGGTTTGTTTAATCTTCTTTCTTTCAATAGGTTCACCTCCTTTATACTGTTACACTCTCTCTAGCTTTCCCCTGCTTCATATTGATTTTACTTCTATTGCCTGTTTCTGTCTGCCTGTTCTACTTTTTTGCAGGACTCTTTCTAGCCAGCTGTCATGAAATCATAACTTCAACTTTCCATCCTCTTTCTGTAAAAGGAGCATCACTCAAAACATCTTGCTGCTTGTTTGGATGTGCATAGTAATGAATATTTAACATCCTGTTAAATTCTGCCTTAACTTTACATAACTGTGAATCTTGCAACTTGCCAGAAATATCTTCTCTCTTTATTCTTTTGTATTTTAAATACATGTTTTCAAATGTAGTAAATGAGTTTTACATTCGAGCTACCTGCTACTTCAGCCAGCTGTTTTTTTCAAAATAATGGTTTCTTTTTTAATAATTGATAGTATATAATACAGTTGTTAATACTGTTTAATAAGGACTGTATAGAGTATTAATGTTAGTCACATGTTTTAGAGAAGACAGAAAGACAGGATGTGCAGATGGCATTGATTTGTAAACTTTTGTTGAGTCCTAATGAACTCAATGTAACTCGTAATTGACTTTCATATTCTTCTTTTAGGTAAAAAGAACATACTCCCATGGTACATATAGAGCTGGCCCAATGAGACAGATCAGCTTGGTTGGAGCAGTGGATGAGGAAGTGGGAGATTACTTTCCAGAGTTCCTTGATATGTTGGAAGATTCACCTTTCTTAAAAGTAAGGGAAAGACGGGAAAGGGGAGATATTCTTCCAAATACTATATATCAGTGGTTTTCAACCTGTGGTCCACCCCTGGGGATCTGCAGACTATGTCTAAAATTTTCAAAGGGCTCTGTACCTCCATTTGAAATTTTTTAGGGGTCCACAAATTAAAAAAAGGTTGAAAACCACTGCTCTATATTAAAGTGAAAGAACTGTAATACTTATTGTCTCACAAGTCTGGTTGAACACCCATGTTGGCCATTCACCAGCTTCTGTTAAGGCATCCAGCCATTGAGTTTCCAGGGTTTTTAAGCCTCGAGATCTGAACAGAATCCAGTTGCTGTCCTTGACACATACTCAGGATGCAGATCTTCTCCCTGGCACCCACTCCTGAGAACTTTGACCATGTGGACTACTGTCCTGTCCCTGGAACTAGTGCTGGCTCCTCAGGCTTCCTCAGAACTTAATGACACCCTTTACCTGAACTCCACCTGAAGGTTTGGCCTTCTGGTTTATCTCTTCAGGGGGGCATGTGCTTAATACACACAGACAAGATTGCACAAGATTCTGAACTACTACTGCTCTTTCTTTAATAACACAAGAAATATACATATCTACACAAAAAATAACAAACCCTACATGCATTCCTTGCCTAGGTTACCTGCCCCTTCCAGAGCATTCTTTGGGCTAGGGTCAGGGTTGTCTGGGGCCATCCAGAGTCCTTCTGTTTGCAGTGCATGGCTTGGGTTCTGAACCACGGAACTCTCTTGCGTCCCCGCCCCTCCCAGCTTGCTTCCTGTGACCTTGGCCAGACTGTCCCCTTTCCCAACCAAACTTCCTGTGGGTCTCCCTCAGTCTTCCCTTGTGAATCCTTTTATCACCTTTCAGTCCCTTAATCAGGTGACTGCTGGATCGACCTCAACAGGTGATCATGGACCCCTTTGCCAAGTGACTTCATTGCCAGGCAGTCTGTTTGCTGAGAAACCCGTTCTTCTAAGTGGAAGCCAATCTGTTACCTAGGATTTTTGTATTAGACTAAAGGACCATTTCGAGTTAATGACCCTCTGTTGTCAGTCCTGTGCCACTAGCCATTGGAACTTCAGTCCAGCATGGAGGTAGCGGGGCAACAGAGAAGACTGTTTAGTCCCTGTATTCAGGATGGAGTTTTCATCTTGGTAAAGATAGATACAGAGAGTTTGTAATCTCCTGAATTGTTTAGAATTCATAAATTGTACAGACTGTTTCCCCAAGTCATCACACTTGCCTACATTCATTTATTTACCAGATCTGTTAACTTTTTTTTTTATTTTACCAAATAACTCTTTTTTTAAAATGTATTTGAAAATAACTCTCATCAAAATGTGGATTGTTATATTTCCCATTAGTGTACATTGCCGTGGGGGACGCTCTCTAGTCTAAAATTAGAAAGTCGTAAAGATAGTGATGATGGTCCCATCATGTGGGTACGTCCAGGAGAACAGATGATCCCTGTGGCTGACATGCCAAAGTCACCTTTCAAAAGGAAAAGGTACGTTGAGATTCTTAGCTTGGTGAGTTATCTGGTTAGTTGTCTTAACCTGTCCCTTATTCCACTTATCCCAATGGCTGTTGCTCTATTATAGCATAAATCTTATGTTTATGTAGCTTTTTACCCCCAAAGAAGAAACAAAATTACTTCTTAGTTTTTAAGTTCTTCTAGGAAGGAAATGTGTTTTTTGTAAGCATTTGTACACCACCTAGCATAATGATGTGCCAATCCTGACTAGAGCCTCTGTGCTTTTGTAATGAATACTAAAATAGTAATTTTACAAACCAGACCATCTTTTCTTCACTCTCCCTAAAATGCAGCTACCTTGAGGTAACAGCATAAAGCAAAATTAAACGTGTTTTGGGGAAAAAGTGAAGAATGCTATATCCATATGAATGCTGCAGGGCAAATTTTAAGTAGGCACCACACGGTTACTCAAATTTAAATTTGGCCAGGATACTGGTATTAACTCCCCTATTCTTAAGTGCTTATGGACCTTTAAGTGCCATCGGACCTTTAAAAACTACAAGTGACAAAGGCTTCTGTCTCATCTGAAAGATGGGACCTCTAACAGTAGAAAGTCACCATAACATCATATTGGGGTACTGATTTAGATAATGACTCAAAACGAAGAGTGCTACCTACAGAATCAAACATAACTTCTTTTAGCATGTAGATTTTCCTTGTGGATTTCCCATCCAAATATTTTCCAGGTGGTTCCCCTAGTTTGTAGAATCTCAGATGTCCGCCTAATGTGATATGGTCTCTCACTATCAGCCTTAGACTAGCCATAGAATGATCATAGAGGATCTGTTCCACCTCACTGGTGTTTTCTCCTTTTACTCTAACATGTCTAACGAGTAGTCTTGCAAACCTTTTTCCTTCCCAGTGCTGAAATGTGGAACAGAGCTGTAATATACAACACTCAAATTGTTCAGTAGAAATGTAAACAAATGAATTTGAATGCACATATTATTACTTTTAGCATTTCATGAATGTTCCCTAAATTACTTTTGTACTTTAATCATCCTGTAATCTGGCCAAGATGTTCTTATTCTAATATATGTGCATGCTGGAGGAAGACATGGATCGTGTTGAATGTAGAAATCTATAAACTTGAGCATGGGGGAGTGTTAGGTTTTTAGTTGTTTTTTTTTATTATTTTTTTTAAACAGAACTACCAATGAAATAAAAAACCTGCAATACCTACCTCGAACTAGTGAGCCCCGTGAAATGCTCTTTGAAGACAGGACACGAGCCCATGCAGATCACATAGGACAAGGTTTTGAACGACAGACTACAGCTGCTGTAGGAGTGTTAAAGGCTGTGCACTGTGGAGAGTGGTAGGTGTCAACTGGTTTAGTCTTAAAAAGAAAAGGAGTACTTGTGGCACCTTAGAGACTAGATAGATAAGCTATTACCAGCAGGACAGTGGGGTGGGAGGAGGTATTGTTTCATATTCTCTGTGTGTATATAAAGTCTGCTGCAGTTTCCACGGTATGCATCTGATGAAGTGAGCTGTAGCTGGTGGAAACTAGAAAGAGGCCTCCCCGTCTCAGTAACAGCTTCAAAAATACAGTTGTGTAAATTGTAGCACTCAGACTTTTCTTGATGTTTGTGAACCAGTATAGTAGTGGTTTGCCTACATTTTTATCTGAACTGCACATAGAATCTTCTGGGAACATTTTTCTCTGTCTGTTTGGATAAAAACAAACATCACAATTCTGGTTCGAGGGAATGGTGGTTGTTTTAAGCCTGGTGGAAGTTGCATGGCATTTCTTTAGTGTCCCAAACAGTCTGAAACTCTTATATGTGATCCAGGGGATCAGCCCAGTTCAGCAGAAGCCATTTTTGCTTGCTTTATCAGAAAGAGAAGAAAGTGCATTTTAGCTGGGTTCTCTCATTGAACCGGAAAAGTGATAATTAGAGGGATTTTTTGGTCCTTTTAACTTCTGTCTCTGAGACTGGCATGTGGTGCTGTAGTACATTACCTTCTGTAATTCCCACTCAGTTACATAGGTGCTGGAACTAGGGGTTCTGGGGGTGCTGCCGCACTGCCGGGCTTAAAGTGGTTTCCATTATATACAGGGTTTACAGTTTGGTTCAATGGCTCTCAGCACCCCACTATAGAATTGTTCCAGCACCCCTGCTCAGTTATTGAGAACACCCTTGCTTTTTATAGTTTGATTGGCATGGTTACTGAGACAAGAATTCTGATATTGCATCAGAACCCAGACTTAATCCTTCTTTGGGTGAAATGGTGCAAATACGTGTAACAGTGCATGAACCAGAACTTGTCTGTAGGTCTGTAATAAAGAAATTCCCCACGGGAGGGAACTGGGTCATTCAAATGTGAACCTTTTTTTAAGCTTCAATGCCTGTAGTCTAGTTCCTGCAAATTCATGACCGTTCCACATTTGACTTGGAAATATTGGTACCGTTCTATTAACTCATTCATAGTTGTGGTAGTCTCCTTTATTGGTCACTTACAAGTTGGCATTTAGTGAAGCTGGATTTCTGTTGTCAAAAGGTTGGATTTCACTTATGGCAAACTTTTATATCAGGCAGAATTTGTGTACTTTCATATTCAAAGTTGAATGAAATTTTTTTTCGATCTTTCATTTTTTAGTTGTTGATCACTCTATAAACTCTGAGTATTGTTCTATATATATTGTCAAAGGCAAACAGATCGAAAATTACATTGATCCATAATTTATTCTGTGGTTAGTCCTGGACCAGTTCCAAAAAAGCACTGCTTGGTTCAGGGACCAGTGATGATTATTAGATGAAATAGCATCTGCACAATGAGGACTGACCATGAATACACTGTTGAAAAGATTGGCGTCTCCACATTCCATTGGAATAAAGCATGGATTTATAACCCTAGAACAGGGCCGGGCAAACTTTTTGGCCTGAGGGCTGCATCAGGTTTCGGAAATTGTATGGAGGGCCGGTTAGGGGAGACTGTGCCTCCCCAAACAGCCAGGCGTGACCCGGTCTCTGCCCTGGATTCCCCCCACCCCCCCACCCACCCACACACACTCTTCTTGCCTCCTGACCCTCCTCCTCCCCCTGGACTCCTGCCCCATCCAACCCCCCCGATGGCCCTCCCAGGACCTCTGCCCCACACACACACCCTGCTCCCTGTCCCCTGACTGCCCCCGGAATCCCCACCCCGACTGCCCCCCGTCACCCCATCCAACCCCTCCTCTCATTCCTGATTGTCCCCCTCCTCCCCCCCGGACCCCTGCCCCATCCAACCACTCCTTCTCCCTGTCCCCTGACTGCCCCCCTGCTACCCCATCCAACCCCCCCTCCTTCCTGACTGCCCCCCCGGGACCCCTGCCCCCATTCAACACCCCTGTTCCCTGCCCTCTGACCACCCTCCCCCCCACCAACTCCCCTACCCTCTATCCAACCCCGCCGTTCCCTGCCCCCTTACCGCGCTGCCTGGAGGACCTGGCTGGAGCCCGGCTGGAGCCAGCCACGCACAGCTCAGCTCAGAGCACCAGGTCAGGCCAGGCTCTGCGGCTGCGCTGCCCCAGGAGCTCACTGCCCTAAGCATTGCGCCAGCGGTGCAGCGAGGTGAGGCTGTGGGGGACGGGGAATAGCAGGGGAGGTGCTGGGGAGTAGCCTCCAGGGCCAGGATCTCAGGGGCCGGGCAGGATGGTCCTGTGGGCCGGATGTGGCCCGCAGGCTGTAGTTTGCCCACCTCTGCTCTAGAAAGACAAGAGATTGGACCATAAAATGTCATTCTATTATTTTTATTTATTTTGTTCAGTTTAAACATTTTAGTGGTAGATTGTTTCTAGCTCTGGCAGATGACTAACTTTTTATAGTGTCTGAAAATTTTTAACATCAACATTAACTTCCTGTTATATGCGGTAGCCAACTTTGATGTGCTTGCTGATGATCAGCTGATATCACAGCTGAAGTGAAATGCCTAGAAATAAGTGATTTTTAAAGCATGGTATCTTGTGGGCTGTGAAGTCTTAGGAACACTTTAGAATGACAGTACTTTTTGTTTTAATAAGAGTTGTTGGCCAGCTTCAATCTATTCAAAAACTGCAACTGATGCAGAATTCAGCAGTGCCCTTATTAAGCAATGTTTCCTTCCTTGAGCCTATTAAACCTGTGCTCTGCACTGTGCATGTGGTTTCCGAATTAATTTTAAGATTTTGATTTTTTACCTGTAAGCCCTAAAAGGCCTAGGATCTACCTGTGTAAGACCTTGCCTCTTTCCCTATAACATGATGCTTCAGTGGCAGGATTAGTGGAGGTACCTGAGCTTGGAGCCCTTTGGGTTGATCTACATAGCATTTTGGAGTGAGTCTCTCAGATCAGGTCAATAAACTTGGGCTGACAGGATTTGCTGGATAGACAGTGCTTTGAGTTGCAGCTCCGTCTGGAACTTGGGCTCTGAAGCCCTCCTCCTCCCTACACTGCAGAGCCCGAATTGCAACTTCAAAGCACTATCTATACAGCAATTTTTAGAGCACTAGTGTCAGTCCCACTGATCCAAATCTGTCTGGGCTGGAGGCTTGCTCCAACAGTATGTGCAGACCGTACTCTTAGATAGTAGGGAGAGGGGTTGCTGGCAGAGCATTTTGGAATTTACTTCCTTCCTGAAGGAAGTCTGAGTTTGTTAGCCTTCAGGGTGTGCTGAAAGGCCCACATTTTCTCCTTTGCCTGTGAAGAATTGAGTGCGGGGTAGAGCTAGGCAGTGGTGATGGGGATTGTGTGTGGTGAGTGATTCATTTTAGTTATATTTGTTGTCACTATGTCTTTGAGTTGATTTGGGAATTTAGAATGTGTATTTTAGTGTATTTTTAAAAAACTGTCGAGCACCTAGAGCAAAAGATGGGTGCTCTTTTTTTGTTGTAGTTAGAACATATTTATCTTGATTTATACAAATCATGGGTAGTTAGTGATTGTGGAAGCAAAGAAAGTTTTAAAGGCATAGGACTAATGTTTGTTCTTACAATGACCTTTTGCCACCCTTTATTCAAACTCTCAAAAATACGCATTTGGTGAAATTCAACAAATCTACTTCATATGGTCCAGGAAAACCACTCTGAGGTCATGGGATCATGAGATTTGGAATGTCATGATGACAGCTTCTGCTATCTCTTTACTGTGTGTTTAAAAAATTGTGTCCCAAAGGGCAAAAATCGATGTGCACAGAAATCTCAACTTGCATCTATCTGGCAAGGACAGGGGAATATGAATAGTAAAATACATAGTTATGCTATTCCAAAGTACAAAATGATATGTAAATTGCATGAATTTTTCTTTTTTTTATTTAAACGTATTGCAGCTTGCCTCTACCGCTTGGATGCGTTATAATGCTATATACAGCCATTTTTAGTAGAAATAATCTAAGTTTTTAGGTGTACATGTTTGTCCTCTATTCTGTAGTACAGCCAAGCTGGAATGTGATTGGAGAGAGGAAGAGCTCCTGCCCTGCAGAATACCTTTCAACTCAAGGGAAGGTACACAGGGCAGGAAGCTAAGAGACCATGGGATCTAAAGTCACCCTATCCTCATTGACTGCTATAGTACTCCTAAGGGCATTCTGCACCAAAAAATTAAAAATTCTTTGCACAATATTTTAAAATTCTGCAAGTTTTATTTGTCAATAAATAAATGCAGAGGCTCCAGCATGGCAGTGGGGAGCACAGGCCACTGGCCACACGAAGGTAGGCGATCACCCTGAAGCTCCTGCACCCCCAGGACACGGACTCAGCGGTGAAGCTGCACCCGACCCTGACATAGCACAAGGAAACACCCTTGGGCTCTTCCCCCTGCACCAGGTGTGGGGCAGGCAGACTCAACCAGGCAGGATCAAAGTGTGGAGGTGCTCAGTGTGGTTAGATCCAGGTGTGGGGTGAGAGGATTCTGTGTGGGACAGTCTGGGCACAGGCAGCTCAGTGGTGGGTCTAGGTGTGCAGGGATCTGGATGCACAGTGGCCCGTTGGGGGGGGAGGGTGTTCCAGGTGCAGGGGCAGTGGGACTCTGCAGGGGCTTCCAGGTGAAGGTGGTTGGGGCTCAGCGGGGGTTGGGAGGGGGGTCTGGATGCTGCGGGGAGTGGGGCTTCGGGGAGGCTCTGGGTACAACTAGTTGAGGGTCAGTGGCATGGGGGTCTGGATCTGGGGGCTCAGGGTGGTGCAGGGGGTGGGGCATCAGGGTCGTGATTTGAGTGCAGGGAGCTCAGTGGGGGTGCAAGGGTGGGGGTCCAGAGGTAGGGGATCTGAGTCCAGGGCAGCTCCAGATGCAGGGGCTGAGGTTCAGTGGGGTGGGGTTCAGGTGTGGAGGGCTAGGGGGGTTCTGGATGTACCGGGTG